AGTTTGGTAGTTCTGTATGGGGGTTCTCTTAGTTTTTCTTTATCGTGTGTGATTCTGTTCTGATTATTTGGTTAGTGCTTACCATGAGGTTTGTATAAAAAATCTCGTGAATGTGATAGTCCATTTTTTGATGGCCTTTTATTCCCTTACACTGTTGGATCCATCCCTTTCCTCTTCCCTTTCTAAGTTATTGTTGTCACATCTTATTCCTTCTTGTGTTGTGAGTTCGTGTTTAACATGATGAGGTTATATTTATTCTTGGTGCTTACCTTCCCTTGATCTTTGGTTTTATAATTGTGTTTGCTAATCTTTTTTTTTTTTTTTTGTAAGGAAGATCAGCCCTGAGCTAACATCCATGCTAATCCTCCTCTTTTTGCTGAGGAAGACTGGCTCTGAGCTAACATCTATTGCCAATCCTCCTCTCTTTTTGCTGAGGAAGACTGGCTCTGAGCTAACATCTATTGCCAATCCTCCTCCTTTTTTTCCCCCAAAGCCCCAGTAGATAGTTGTATGTCATAGTTGCACATCCTTCTAGTTGCTGTATGTGGGACGCGGCCTCAGCATGGCCGGAGAAGCGGTGCGTTGGTGCGCGCCCGGGATCTGAACCCGGGCCGCCAGCAGCGGAGCGCGCGCACTTAACCACTAAGCCACCAGGCCGGCCCATCAATTTTTTTTAAAGTCTATTCTTTTATTGATGTCTTAATAGTTTATAACATTGTGAAATTTTGATTGTACATTATTGTTTGTCAGTCACCATATAAATGCCTCCCTTCATCCCTTGTGCCCACCCCCCAACCCGATGTTCAATTTTTAAATCAACCTGTATTCTTGGGATAAAGCCAATTTTGTCATAATGTATTAATTATCCTTTTTATATATTGCTGGATTCAATTTGTTAATAGCTTGTTACAGGGTCCAGCCCAGTGGCATAGTGGTTGAGTTCGCACGCTCTGCTTCAGTGGCCCAGGGTCCATGGGTTTGGATGCTGGGCGTGGACCTACTCACTGCTCATCAAGCCATGCTGTGGCGGTGTCCCACATACAAAATAGAGAAAGATGGGCACAAATGTTAGCTCAGGGCCAATCTTCCTCACCAAAAAAAAAAAAAAAAAAAGTTTGTTACTGCTTTCTTGTGTCTATGTATATGAGGGATATTGGTCTATAGTGTTCTTGTGATGTTTTTGTTTGTTTTTTATATCAAGGTAATGCTGGATCCATAAAATGGGTGGAGAAGTGTTCCCTTCTCCTCTGTTTTCTTAAAGAGTTTGTGTAAAATTGGTATTTCTTCTTCTTGTTTTTTTAAATTTTATTTATTTATGTATTTTTTCCCCCAAAGCCCCAGTAGATAGTTGTATGTCACAGCTGCACATCCTTCTAGTTGCTGTATGTGGGACACGGCCTCAGCATGGCCGGAGAAGCGATGCATCAGTGCGCGCCCGGGATCCGAACCTGGGCCGCCAGCAGTGGAGCGTGCGCACTTAACCGCTAAGCCATGGGGCCGGCCCTGGTATTTCTTCTTTAAATGTTTGCTAGAAATCACTAGTGAAGCCATCTAGACCCAGAGTCTTCTTTGTAGGACGTTTTAAAATTATGAATTCGATTTTCTACTTCTTGTGTCAGTTTTGGTAATTTGTGTTTTTTAAGGAATTTATCCATTTCACCCAAGTTGTAGAATTTACTGGCATAAAGTTGTTCATAATATGCCCTTATTATCCTTTTAATGTGTGTAGGATCTATAATGATATTTCCTCTTCATTCCTGATATCGGTAATTTGTGTGTTCTTTTCTTTTTTGATCAATCTAGTTTGAAGCTTATCAATTTTATTGATCTTTTCAAAGAATCAGCATTTGGTTTAATTGATTTTTCTCTGTTTTCTATTTCATTTATTTTTGCTTTATCTTTATTTCCTTCCTTCTACTTAAATTTGTTCTTTTTCTAGCATTTTAAGGTGGAAGCTTATTTTTTTTTTTAATAATTTTATTTATTCATTTATTTTTCCCCAAGGCCCCAGTAGATAGTTGTATGTCGTAGTTGCACATCCTTCTAGTTGCTGTATGTGGGACGCGGCCTCAGCATGGCCAGAGAAGCAGTGCGTCGGTGCGCACCCGGGATCCGAACCCGGGCCGCCAGCAGTGGAGCGCGTGCACTTAACCGCTAAGCCACGGGACCGGCCCTGGAAGCTTATTTTATACCTTTCTTTTCTTTGAGTGTAAGCATTTGAAGCTACACGTGTACTTTTAAGTACTGATTTAGCTGAGCTCACAAATGTTTGTTTTTATTATTTAGTTAAAAATATTTTCTAATTTTGCTTGTAATTTCTTCTTCAATCCCTGGGTTATTGCCAAGTATCGGGGGTTTTCCAATTTTTTTTTTTTTTTTTTTTTTACTAATTTATAATTTAATTATATTGTGGTCAGAGAACATGCCTGTAATAATTTTGATCCTTTTAAATTTCTGTTTTTATGGACCAGTCTATGGTCTATCTTGAATATTCCATGTGCACTTGACAGAAAATGTGTATTGTTGCTGGGCACAGTGTTCCATGTTAATTAAGTCAAATTGGTTGATTGTATTGTTGAGTCTTCTATATCCATATTGATTTTCTCTCCTATCAAGTACTGAGGAAGGAGTGTTGAAATCTCCAATTATAATTATAGATGTCCATTTCTTCTGTTAATTCTGTCAGTTTTTGCTTATTCCTATATTTTGAATTTCTGTAATTGGAGGCATACAAATTCAGGATTTTAGTGTCTTCTTGATATGTTTCTCTTATCTCTAGTAATACCCTTGATCTTGAATTCTACTTTATCTGATATTAATATAACCACTCTAGCTTTCCTATGGTTAACGTTTGCATGATACATTTCTTTCCACCTTTTTACTTTTAGCCTGTGTTTTAATATTCTGAGTCTGTTGATCATATAGGTGGTTCTTGCTTTTTTAAAAGCTTTTATTATTTTTTTTTTAATATTTATTTACTTATTTTTCCCCCAAAGCCCCAGTAGACGGTTGTATGGCATAGCTGCACATCCTTCTAGTTGCTGTATGTGGGACGCAGCCTCAGTACAGCTGGAGAAGCGGTGCGTCGGTGCGCGCCCAGGATCCGAACTCGGGCCGCCAGCAGCAGAGCGCGCACACTTAACCGCTAAGCCACGGGGCCAGGCCGGTTCTTGCTTTTTTAAATCCAGTGTGAAAATCTCTGCTTTTGAATTGGAGTGTTTAGACCACTTCCTCAAAGTAAACGCTTCCTAAAACTGAGCAGTGCCTGTGGATTGGGAAATTCACTCCTGCCTTTGGTTGGCATTCCACAGGGAAAGGTTGGTGATAGGGTCATTGCCTCTTCTTCCAGGTTCTCTGTGCTATCGTTTTCTCATCTGTAGTAGGGAAATTGTACCTACCTCACAGGGTGGTTATGAGAATTAGATGAGAAAATCCATATAAAGCACACAGTAAGCACTCGATAAATGGAAGCTACAGATAGCTTTAGATAATTAGATGATAGTAATAATACATTATTGCTATTATTTCACTAAGCACCCCTTCCCACTTGGCTTTGATGAAGTGTTGACTTAAGAAATGAATCCCACTTTACAGTTATAAACTGCTCTCATATGTACCCTCATCTGCTGAAAACTGTTGGAGGCCTGTGTATTATAATGATTTTAGTCTTTTTTCTCTATTCATTTTTCAATCGTGCTTTCCTCTTCTAGCCAATTCTCCTTTGTAAAAAAAAAATTAAAATTTTTGTTGAATCCATCAAACTGTACACTTTAAACATGTGCATTTTATTATATGTAAATTATACCTCAAGAGTTTATTTTAAAAACAAAAACAAAACTGGAAAAATTCTGTTACATACATCAGTGTATATATGTATAGGTTAAAGACTAATAATAAAACCAATATCCATGTGCCCATTTACCAGCTAAAGAAATTGCACAACAACAATCCCTTTGAAGCCCCTTGCATACTGTATTAATCATTCAGTTATTTTCTTCATAGCTTTGCCATACACGTATCCCTATGCAATATAGTTTTGGCTGCCTTTGACCTTTATTTAAATAGGACCATGCTGAATGTATGCTTCTGTGACTTGCTGCTTCTGCTCATTATCTTTTTTTTTTTTTTTTTTGTGAGAAAGATCAGCCCTGAACTAACATCCATGCCAATCCTCCTCTTTTTGCTGTGGAAGACTGGCCCTGGGCTAACATCTGTGCCCATCTTCCTCCACTTTATATGGGACACCGCCACAGCATGGCCTGACAAGCGGTGCGCGCCCAGGATCCAAACCCGGGCCGCCAGCAGCGGAGCGTGCACACTTAACCACTACACCACTGGGCCAGCACCCTGCTCATTATCTTTAAGGTTTATCTACACTTATACGTGTAGTGGTTATTTACTTTTACTGCTGTATAGTTTTCCATTCTATAATCCACCATTTTATTGAGTGTATATAGGCTACTTGCAATTTTGCGCTTTTCCAAACAATGCTGCTATGAATAGTCTTATCCATGCATTTCTAAGGTAACATGCTGGGATGGAACTGCTGGGGTGTGAGGTATGTCCATGTTCAACTTGACTAGTTAATGCCAACTGTTTCCAAAGTGGCTTGTACTAATTAATCTTTCCACCAGCAGGGTAAGAAAGCTCCTTTTTCTCCCTGTCCTTGCTGACATCTACTGACACGTTTTCATATTCTAACACTTCTGCCCAGTTGAGTCTTTATAACAGCCAACACTTCATGTTCACTTAAACTATGCCAGGCCCTGCACTGAGGGCTCTGTGTGCGCGATCTCATTTCATCCTCTCGAGAGCCCTATTATGAATATGTTGTCGTTTATGATCAAGAAAGCAAGTCTTTGTCCTTCCCCTGCCCACTCCCCTTCTGTCTGGGCCCTGTGGTCATTCTCCGTGGTCACCTCATCTCTTCCTTCTCCCAACCTGGGTGAGGCTGCGTCCCAGCAGGGCCTCAGTCTCACCTTGGACCCTTTCCTCTTCAGGCTTTTACTCCCTGTCAGTCCGCCTCAGCCGCCCTGCATCCTGGGACCGGATCAAACACTACAGGATCCAGCGCCTTGACAACGGCTGGCTGTACATCTCGCCACGCCTTACCTTCCCCTCACTCCAGGCCCTGGTGGACCATTACTCTGGTATGGCCTTTCCCTGCCTCCATGAGAGTAGACTGGGACGTGGGGTCCATGCCTTTAGACACTTTACTTGCTTAAGAACATCCAGACAGGGCCAGCCCGGTGGCGCAGCGGTTAAGTGCGCACGCTCCACTTCGGCGGCCCTGGGTTCACCGGTTCAGATCCCGGGCACTCACCGACACACCGCTTGTCAAGCTATGCTGTGGTGGCGTCCCATATAAAGCAGAGGAAGATGGGCACGGATGTTAGCCCAGGGCCAATCTTCCTTAGCCAAAGGAAAAAAAAAAGAGGATTGGCATCGGATGTTAGCCCAGGGCTATCTTCCTCACAAAAAAATAACAAAGAAAAGAATATCCAGACAGAAGATCTCCCCTATCTTTATGCCAGTCCTTGTGCTAAGAAACAGGTTGGGAGCCCTGTCTTCATCCTATGCCCTCACAGAGCCACAGAGATGTCCCGTGTGAGCGCAGGCCAATACCTCGCCCACTGTGGTTCTGAGTCAAAGTCCCCAGTGGCAGGCATGGTTCTTTCCATGGCAACTAGACCCAGAACTGTTACTGTAGGAATTCACCTGATTCTTAGCATTTTCTGGTGCCTGTCCTGTAATAGGCACTAGAGGATGCAGTCACTAGAGCACAGTGTCAAAGGGGCAGAGAGGAAAGGCCACTCCTGGGAAAACTGATGAGGGGTTTTTCTGGCAAGTTGTTCCATGCAGTGGATACTGACAGTATGAGTAGAGGTTGAGCATTCCTTAGCTTTCTTCTTCCCACAGCACTTTCTTAGCCGGAACACGGGGCTTGAAGAAGTCCATCAACTTACCCAAAATCACACAGTAAATTAAGTCTCCCAAAAGCTAGCTCAGAATGACATTTGACTACATCTCAGCCTCTAGGAGACCAATAGCTTGGGGCTCATGCAGTCACTCTTTTTTGACCATGCCCCCACCTGCCAAGTGTGGAAAGCTGTCAGGGTGAGGGTGGGCGTTGCTGGGGAGGAAAGCAGGGCTGGAGTCAGCCATTGTCAAGGGTCTAGGTCTCTTCCTCAGAGCTGGCGGATGACATCTGCTGCCTCCTTAAGGAGCCCTGTGCCCTGCGGAGGGCTGGCCCACTCCTTGGCAAGGCCATACCCCTACCTGTGACTGTACAGACGACGCCACTCAACTGGAAAGAGCTGGACAGGTGAGGGGACCCCTGGAACATGGAGGTGGAACAAAGAAGAGTTAGAAGGACTTGCCCCTGGGAACCCACAACCCAGAATGGGCTTGTCACCTTCAGGGACACAGGGGGGCCAGTGAGCATTGACTGACTGAGCTCGTAGAGGCCAGCTCAGGCTCAGCAGGTCTGTAGGGAAGACTGGCAGGGAGGAGAAAGTGGGCATGGACATAGGGTATGCCTGTACACCAAGGTGGCCAAGATGGAAAGAAGGTCAGACAAGATGGGGCAGAATAGAGAGCACCAGTCCCGAGTGGAGAAGTCAAGCTGGGGTTTGACCTGACAGGGAACAGGGAGCCACTGTTTTTCAGGAGTGACTTCAAGACATGTTTTGAGAAAAGTGAACTGTGTGGTGAGGGAGGACGAAGCTCCTTGACTCAGCTCTTTTCCCCCCTCCACAGCTCCCTCTTGTTCTCTGAAGCATCTGCCACAGGAGAAGCGTCTCTCCTCAGCGAGGGGCTCCGGGAGGCCCTCAGCTCCTACATCAGCCTGACTGATGACACCTCCTTGGACGATGCAAGGCCCAAAGCAGAGGCCAAAAGAAGAACCAAGGTTGCAGCACCTAGAGCACCAACCAGCTCAGCCTGAGCACCCCAGAGGCAAGGCTGTACACTGGGGAGGCTGGGACAGAGGCACATCCTGGGTGCCACCTGCATCCTCTGCTCCTTCCTCTCAGCCCTAAGTCACTTAACCTCCTCCCAGGGCCATGACCCTGCCTGCAACCTGCATTTCAAGTCCAGACCAGTTGAGAGCAGGGCCAGGGCTCCAAAAACAGACTGAACCTCCTCTGGGGTCTGACGGAGTCAATTCCCAAGTTTGGGATTTCCAGAACCATCTTCCTCCCTTGCCTGTTGAGTCCCATTCTACACCCCCACTGCTAACCAGCCTCACCCACATGATAGAAACCACCACTAGCATCAGGAGAAAAACATCATTTAAAGAAAATTTACAAGTCTCACTCAGACTACCACCATACTTCAGAAGGTAGGACTGTGGCCTAGAAGGGACAGGAAAGCAGAGGGGATGGACGGCTTACCATAGCAGCAGAACCTGGGCTCTCCAGCCTCCACCTGACTCCCAGAGCAAAGAGAAGGACCTCTGACAGTCCAGGTCCTCAAATGTCCACATCAAGCCCCTTCTCTGCACAGTCCTAGCTCTCAGATCTCTATTTCATTTTGTGGCTTATCATTTGAACCTGGCCAAGCTTTCCTAAGTACAATGGCCTTGCCTCTTGTGGCGAAATGCAAAATGACACCTTCTGAGCCCAGCACCTTGCAGTGAGGTTAATCACAGTTCTCATTGCTGGGCAGGGGCATCAGGGCATGAGAAGGTGGTGAGCCCTCTCTCCACAAAGCCAAGGCCACAGCCTAAACCAACTCTAGCCTTTGATTTCCCTGCTGCCCATAAAGGGAAAGAGGCCTGGCTGAAGCTACTGAAGGAAGCAGGGAGAGGAAGAGGGAAAAGGGATGGGAGGGCACCATCTCTACTGGGTCCTGAGGCTAGAGGTGAGGTGGGAAAGGCTTTATCAGGTATCATCAACAGGTTGTCAATTAAAGATTTGATTTATTCAAGTATCTGAAAACATTCTACAATGGAAACTGTTATTAGATGCTGCTTGTACTGTGTTATGGATCACACATATACTGCCATACTGTTTTCAGAAGACTTGAAATGCCACTGATAGTTTAAAAACTGTACACCTGATGGAGAAGTGAGGAAGACAATTTAACGTTTCATCCGGATCCAGAGGTGCATCAAATTAAACGAGAGCTCCAATCGGCAAACAGGTGTTTCGTGATGGTATCCAAGAAGAAATAGATGGTGATGGAAAATTCAGAGATGTTTCATCAAAAGGTGATGGTTCTTTAAAAAGTTTCAGGTCACAACTCTTGCAGAAAACACTGACGCCCAACACACTGATTCTCAGTCCAGGAAATATGGGTCTTCCAGGTTCCACGTGGCTGCCCCTACAATCACGTTTCTGTGCTGTAACTAAGAGGGTCCTTTGGACAGGACAGGGAGCAGGTGGGAGCTGTACACCATCAGTCATAGTGGATGGCAGTGTAAAAGATGATCCAGATGACCTAGAGAGGAGACAAGCAATGTTCATAGGTCACCTGGGTCAACGCAGGCCCCTATTCCACAAAACAAAAATGTCAGATAAGAATCGGTGCACAGTGGGCTTCCCAGGGGCTAGCCAATGCATAATTTGCTTGGGGGCCTAAATAATTTCACTGAAATCAAGCTGTCTCTAACAGAGCCCAGGACCACCCACCTGTGCTCCCCAAGGGACCTCCAGCAAGCCATTCCCCCAACTAAACAACAACCCAAAGCACCAGAGAATAGAGCTACAGATGTGAACAAACACACGTAAAGCGGACTGTACTGCTAGGCAGTGTTATCATTAGCAACCCATGTAAACACAAAACCACCACCATACCCTGTCAGTTCCACAGCTAATAGAGCAGAGGTTCTCAAAACTGGCTGTCCACTGCAATCTCCTGGGACCTTTAAAAATATATATAGATGCCCAGGCACCACCTCTCAAAGATTCTGATTTTATTGGTTTGGGCTAGGGGCTATAATTAAAGAAAACCAAACTTCTGAAATATAATTCATATTCCATAAAGCTCACCCTTTTAAAGTATATAATTAATTCAGAGGTTTTTAGTATATTCACAGAACTGTGCAAACATCACCACTAACTGATTCTGGAACATTTTCATCACCCTCAAAAATCTGTTCCCATTATCATTTTTTTCCCATTTCCCCACCCCTCCCAGCCACTGGCAACCACTAATCTATTTTTTGTCTGCATGAATTTGCCCATTCTGGACACTTCACATAAATGGAATCATATAATATGTGATCTTTTGTGTCTGGATTCTTTCACTTAGCATGTTTTCAAGGTTCATCCATGTTGTAGCACATATCAGTACTACTTCATTCCTTTTGATGGCCAAATAATATTCTACTGCATGGATATACAAAATTTTATTTATGCATTCACCAGGTGATGGCTGTTTGCACTTTTTGGCTATATTATGAATAATACTATGAATATATTTTTAAATGTTTCCCAGTTGTTTCTAATATGCAGCCAGAGTTGAGAATCAGACGTAGAAACTGAAGATGGGCCCTGGATCTGCACACCACAGGGAGACTGTAACATGTATCACACCACATCTTTTGGGACAACATGACTCAAAAGGACATGCCCTCCAGCCTTAGGAGCCTTTTGAAAAATGGTCCCCCAATCACACAGTGTAACTCAATCACTAGGCTCCCCTTGAGTGACACCTCATGAAATGATAGTACTTGCTGTAAAACTATCAGCTACACATACCATGAACAAGGCAAAAGATGTCATAAACCCTTCTTTCGTGAGCTCCCACGTGCCACCATACTCTTCCTCATCTATCTGTAGGTAGTTGCTGAAGTAGAGGTACAGGACTCCCGCATTGATCAGGCAGAATCTGGAGTGAGGAAGGACAAGCACCAAACACAAACCGTAAGCCTAGAAGACTCAGAACGCCCACCACCACAGTCCACTTCTGTCATGACACTCACTGTTGCACAGTTAACTGTATTATGGGGGCAAGTGAAGTAATATGTGAAACTGCCTGGGCCCTCAAAGGAGCTGCCCACTTGGCTGAGCTAGAGACTTAAAGAAGGAACTCTTTAGTTGCCCAGCAAAAACAACAAAAATAAATAAAAAAGGACCAGTACTGGGGCTGGCCTGGTGGTATAGTGGTTAAGTTTGCACGCTCTGCTTCAGTGGTCCAGGGTTGGCAGGTTCAGATTCCAGGTGTGGACCTACGCACTGCTCATCAAGCCATGCTGTGGTGGTGTCCCATATACAAAATAGAGGAGGACTGGCACAGATGTTAGCTCAGGGACAATCTTCCTCAAGCAAAAAGAGGAGGATTGGCAACAGATGTTAGCTCAGCGCTGATCTTCCTCACCAAAAAAAAGGACCAGTACCAACATGGGCCTCCAGGTAGCGCCAGCTGGGATGGGGGGTGGCCATGGGACAAACACAGGTTAAGCTGCTGCTTCATGGCCTAGCTGAACAAGCAAGGGCATACTAAAACAGCCCCTGCGTGATTCTCAACGGGAGACAATTTCTGGATGTCCACCACCTGCTACTGCACTAGATGCAGAGGTGACTAAGACAATTCCTGCCCTCAGCTCACCATCTATAGTCATATGTCACTTAACGAAGGGGATACCTTCTGAGAAATGCCCTGTTGGGGGTTTTCATCATTGTGCAAACATCACAGCATGTATTTACACAAACCTAGATGGTATAGCCTACAAGACACTCAGGCTGTATGGTACTAATCTTATGGGAGCACCATCGTACATGTGGTCCGTTGTTATGTGGCGCATGACTCTATTAGGGGACTAAAAACAGCAGTGAAAGTGGAATTGAAACCAGAGGTTTGTGAACACCTCCAGGAAGGTCTTTGACCCCCATCATGTATTATTTAACGGATGCAGGAATTAGAATGTAGTGAGCAGTAACATATCACCCTGCTCTACTGATCTCTTAGTACCGTCATCATGTAAAAATAATGCTCATAAAGTGATCGAGACTTTCTTTATGGTCTTTCCAGTTACAGCACCCAATCTAATGGGGGACTGTATGTCTTAGGCCACGTTTCTTCTGAAGGCTAAGGTGGAAAAATGCAGAAGAGAACTGTTTCCTCCTAATGGACGAAGTGTGGGCTGGTATAGGGCAGGGCAGGATGATGATGCTGAGGAGTGCAAATCAGTATATAAGGGGTGGGGGGTAGATCCTGAGGCTGTCTCAGCAAGAGGGGATGAGGCAGAGTGTGCACATTTCAGGAATTCCAGCTTGTAAGTAGTGAGGGGCTTTCTCATGAGTGGAAGGAACAGGAACTGGGAGACTGGTTTAGATCTACACCATGTTTCAGGACATGAGTGCTAATAAAATTTGAGGGCAGGGACTGGGCAAATGGCAGAATGGGGAGGCAAGAGGTCCCAAAGGCTTCAAGCCTAAGGGCCTGGGAGTACAATGGTTCCAGTAACAGAAGCAGGCAGTCAGGAAGAACAGAAGGTTTTTCTTGGATTTCACACAAAACACAGTCCTTGGCTTGGCCATGTTGTGGCCACATCCTTATCTTCTGCCAGAAATCTTGGGACCCAGCCAATCTGGCCACCTCACTGATAGGAGTTGATTTTGGCCAGGCTGAGTTAGTGGCTCTAGAGAGAGACTACTAATGGGCCTTAGAAATGTCACTCTGGGGCTCAGCTGCAGAATGACTGGAGATTCACCGAGAGCCTCCAACCGTAAAAGTGGTTGCTTAGTGAGATGAGATAGGGAAAAATAAGGGCAAGATGAGATAAGGGATGACAGGAAGAGAAAAGGGCTGACATAGGCCCTGCCTTCCAGGGGTTACACATTAAGCAGAAAGTGAAGTCACAGAAACAAAGGCATTTAAATGTTTGGTGGTCAAAGGGGAGGGGTCAGGAAAGGACTGGAAGGGCTCAAACTGAGCTTTAAGGATGGGCATAATTTCTATATTATAAACAAAGAAATGAACATGCTGGATTGGGGGTTAGAAAAGAACATTAAAAAGACTAACTCTCAAATGGTTTTTGTGTGTGTGTGTGTGTGTGTGTGTGAGAGGAAGATCAGCCCTGAGCTAACATCTGCCAACCCTCCTCTTTTTGCTGAGGAAGTCTGGCCCTGGGCTAACATCTGTGCCCATCTTCCTCCACTTTATATGGGACGCCGCCACAGCATGGCTTGACAAGCAGTGCGTCGGTGCGCGCCCAGGATCCGAACCGGCGAACCCCGGGCCGCCACAGCGGAGCCCATGCACTTAACCGCTTGCGCCACCGGGCCGGCCCCTCAAATGGGTTTTTAAAAATTCTATCCTAGGGGCTGGCCCCGTGGCGTGGTGGTTAAGTTGCTGGCGGCCTGGGTTCGGATCCCGTGCGTGCACTGACATGCCGCTTGTCAGGCCATGCTGTAGCGGCGTCCCACATCAAGTGGAGGAAGATGGGCATGGATGTTGGCTCAGGGCCAGTCTTCCTCAGCAAAAAGAGGAGGATTGACATGAATGTTAGCTCAGGGCTGATCTTCCTCACACACACAAAAAATAATAATAAATAAACAATACTCTTTATTTAAAAAGAATAAAGTATTATTAAAAAGATAAATAAATAAAAATAAAAATTCTATCCTAAAAACTCCAGTCAGAATTTTAACAAAATAATGAATCTCTAACAAATAACTCTGACTTCAGGGCTGGAAGGCTGCCCAACAACAGTGATCTACGGCCCTGCTTACAAGGGTCAATGGGAATTCGTTTCAGTTAAAAAAAAATTTTAACAAGCCTTCACTGAGCATGTATTAATCATGTGCCAAGCTCTATGAGAGAGAGGCAGGAAGGATGGACAGTGCCCCTCTCCAATAATGCAAAACCTCAGCAGACAGAGCAGAACCATCACGCAGTTCTCAGGCAAATTATAAATAATAAGACCGGAGGAAATGGTTTTACCTTAATAGGCCCCAACTGGTGGCCACACCAGAAATGAAGAGCAGCCAAGTTGGGGTCGAGACAGAGGGCAGTTAAGGCAGGAAGTGGGGAAGAGGAGGGTCACCAGAACTGAGCACCAGAGCAGTCCTGCCTTAAGCCCAGGCAACTGGGTCAGACAGATGGAGAAGAGGAGATACATGTGAAAAAAAAAAAAAATCAATGTCCTTGGGCCCTTTCCAAGAGCAGAGGAAAAGGTGCCAATCAAATGAGGGAATGGATTTGTTTGGAGTGACAGAAACTGGCTGGGGCAGGACAGTGTGGGACTGAACCCCAGAAAACAGGCAGTCCTGAGAAAGTGGCGCTATGCACTATGGGTGAGCCACTCCAAGGTGAATTCACTCCCAAACATCTCATTTCCTGTTTTCTCAAACAGCCATATTTTACCACTCTTCGTAAAGCTAATCATATAATGATTGCAGTAAACCATTTATGGAGTGCCTATGATGTACTAAGCACTACATTTATGCAGATTTACTTGCATTATCTCATTTAATTCATACATCAATCTTATGAGGAAGGCATTTTGATTGCCCCCATCTTGATGAGGAAACTGAGTCTCAGAGAGTTGAGCCAAAATTATGTAGCTTGAAAATGGCAGAGCTGAAACTTGAATCCAGAGCTTTCTATAAAGTTTCTTTAAAAAAACCAAGTTCTGTTTGGGCAGCTTAACTCATCTGCCACAGTGGGAAGGATACTAGATTAGCTCTCCAGTCTTTGCCGTATTATTCCCAGATTGGATGACTTCAGAGAAATCCCTTAGGAATCCTACGAGACGAGATAGGTGCAGCTCTAAACTAGTGTTATCCTCTCCTAGACAAGTGGCCTTGGGAAGATGAGAAACGCCCTCTTGCCTTTAGACTGCCTTACCCTTTTCTCTGGCATTTTCCTCTTGTCTGCATTTTCTCATAGAAAGCTCACATGGGGTGATCAACATTCTAAAAATGTAGCTATATACCACCTCCAACCTGGGAAGACCTCTTCCCAGACCTCTTCTGGGTCAGGTTCCCAGACCTGAACCCCAGGTGCTGTGTCTCATCACCCTCAATCAGTCTTCATCAAGTGTCCACTCTTCAAAGTCAGGCAGTGCATCAACTCTTCTTGGTTTCCTTGTACAAATGCTTTGCTCAGTACCACAAATGAAAAACCTTTTTAGCTAGGAGCGGTACATCCCTTTTGGGTTATCTTCCGAGAAAACAGGCAACTCAAATGAGTTTGATATCTATTTCTCCCTTTCCACCCTTGGGTAAGGAAATAATAAGAGATGTGATCAATGTGCTTTTCCATGGGTAAGGATGACAGTTTATATTCTGTGTGGGAAAAGAGAAAAGGTCACAGGCCTGCCTGTCTAGTTCCACAACTTGCCCCCAATTCCTGTCTGAAGACAACTCCCAAACATCCTTTTAATTCAGTCTGGTGGGTATGTGGACTCACTTTCAATGGCTTGTTAACCTGAGCGATAACCAGGGGCTGGTGTCAACCGTGCTGCCACTGGCCACAGGAGCACAGTAAAAAATGGAGGGCCCAATGTCCTACTTTTTCACTGCCTTTAAAACGTAGGGAGTTGAGGGCCACCCCCATGGCTTAGCGGTTAAGTGCAGGCGCTCCGCTGCTGGCGGCCCGGTTCGGATCC